CCCAAAACGTACCCATTAACCATTATTTTCCATTTCCTATCCCTCATTCAATCATGTATCCACATTACGACTGACTCCTTTAATCCATGACTTATAGCTTTCCTCAAGTCTGTTGTGTGGTACTGTATCAAACACCTTCTAGAAGTCCATGTACATCGCATTAACGGCATTTCCGTCATCAACCCTTTTCGAAACTGCTTCAAAATCTCTAAAAAGTTAGTTGGACATGATTTTCCTTTAACAAATCCATGCTGACTTTTCCAAATCAAAGCCACATTTTTCCATGTGGCTATTAATTCTACCATGAAGAACTGTTTCTACAAGGTTACTCATCAACAAAGTTAAAGTGACTGGACTGTAATTGCTGTGCTGATCATTTCATCCTTTTTTGAACAAGGATGAAATGCTTGCAATTTTCCAGTTCTCTGGCTCCTCTCCAGAAATCATAGTGGATAGGAACCAATGAAACTCGACTCGGATTAGACAGGGTAGATGCAGGAAGAATGTTCTTGAAGACTCGACTTTTCCCAGGGTGGGGCAGTCTAAAACTAAACGGCATAGGTTTAGGGTGAGAGGGGAAAGATATAAAAGGGTCCTAAGGGGCAAATCTTTCACACAGAGGATGGTACATGTATGGAATGATCTGCCAGAGGAAGTGGTGGAGGCTAGTACAATTACAACATTTTAAAGGCATCAGGATGGGTTCATGGATAGGAAGAGTTTAGAGGAATATAAGCCAAATACTGGCAAATGGGACTAGTTTAATTGAGGATATCTGGCTGGCATGGACGAGTTGGACCAAAGGGTCTGTTTTTGTACTGTACAACTCTGACTATTTCTGGAGAATCCAGAAACAGGGATCACAGTCTAAGAATGAGGGGTAAGCCATTTAAGACTGAAATGACAAATTTCTTCATCTCGAGAGTAGTGAGTCTGTGGAATTCTCAGCCACAGGAAACTGTTGGGGCCAAAACATTGAAGACTTTCAAGAAAGGTGTAGATACAGTTCTTAGAACAAAAGGGATCAGAGGATATGGAGAGGATGATCAGCCATGATCATATTAAATGGTGGAGCAGGCTCGAAGGTCTGAATGGTCCACTCCTGCTTCTATCTTATTTGTTTTGATGAAAGATTATTGCCAGTGGCTCTGGAATTTCCACTCTCACTTCCTTCAATAACCTTGGATGCATCTCATCCAATTGAGATTGAGATTTCTTCTCTGTCACCATGATCTAGACAGCATCTGCCGTGTAGGTGAAGACAGATGGAAAGTATTCCAATGTAATTGCACTCCTTATTTGTTAGCTCTGGCCAAATTGACTCCGTCCATTTGAAACATCCTCTTTCCCTAATACTCTCCTTAACCAACCACACCACACAATTTCCCCTTCCCCATCTTTCTTTTCTTTAACCAGGAATATTTAATGTCCAGATCTGCTCTTCCTTAACCCAGGTCCCCATTATCACCATAACATCACAATCTCACAAGGTAATCTGTGTCTGTAACTTCCCAATTTAATTAACTTTAACTTTACTCTGTACATTCCCATACATGCGCTTTAACCCTGATTTGGACTTCATTACTTCTCCCCCCCCTTACTCCGACTCTGCCTATGAACTTACTGTTTTCTATTCCTGTTCTATCTGCAGCACTTATTGCACCCTAGTATTACTTTCTAATATTGTCTCCTAGTTCACACACCCCTAATTAGCGTGTTTAAATCTTCCCAAACAATACCAGCAAAATGCCTGACAATGAACTTTGTTCCATCTCTGTTCTGATGCAACATGTCCAGTTTGTACAAGTGCCATTTCCTTCAGATCAAGTCCCAGGAATAGAAAGCCCTCTGTCCTACATAGCTTTCATCATATATGTTTATTATCTTCCAATTTCCGTACTCACTTGTGGCGCTGGGAGTAATCTGGACATTACCACTTCAGCAGTCCTGCTTGCTAATATTTTACCAACCTCCCTAAACTCCCATTGCAGGACCACATGCCCCTTCCTACCTAATTACTACCAGTGTGGACCATGACATCTGGCTGTTCACCATACCCCAGAAGCAAGTTCTGAAGCTGTTCTGTGACGTTCTTGACTCTGGCAGCAGAGAAGCAACACGCCATCCTGGAAACATGTTGAGAGCTGCAGAAATACCTAAATTTTTTTGATCATTTAATATCTACTTATAAGGCTTGGTGTCAAATGTTTGTTTATCGCTCCTGCGAAGGCCTTTTGGGATGTTTCACTGCAGGAAAGGTTTTCTATAATTACAAGTTGGCGTTATTATCTGAAGGATGAAATGGCTTCGCACTGACAGGTGGGGCCATTGCGGAGATGGCAAGGAATGAAAGTTAACCCTGCTTGATGGTTCCAGCAGATTGTCTCTCTGTCTCTCTGTCTCTCTGTCTCTCTGTCTCTCTGTCTCT